AAGGAAGATTGACATTAGATGTTTAATTAAGTGTTTACAGTTACCGCTAGGTTACTAAAAGGTTTTACTTAGATTGGCTGCGTAATGCAGTGACTGTTAATACCCATTAGCCATCTGAAAATTAGGTTTCTAGTTTAAGGAGTTGTTCCAACTCTCCCTATACACTGTGGAAAAAGAACAGGGAGTGATTCAGCCCRCTTCTCTCAGTATGTGACTCTCAGAATCTAGTCTCTGCAGAAGAACAAACTGAGTAACCAAGGGAAGGGTCTTTTCTGAGTGTCTTTTCTCCAGCCACACAGTCTTCTGGATTCTATCTCATTTCGTCTCTTTTTTGACTAATATTTGGTCTTCCCAAATTAAAAACAAAATAGATAATTGACTTTAATAAATGAGAGGAATCTGAATACTAAGATGCTAAATCTAGGTGACTCACTTTAAAAAGAAATAACTTTATGACAAACTGTTATTTCCCATATCAGGCAAGTTAGGCTGCCYCATGAAACAGCCATCACCATTGCTCTGCCAGCTGAGAGACTGATATCAAATATACAATTTCTAAACAGAAAATAGTAGACTCTTTTTTTGAAAATGCATTGTTTATGCAAGAAGGATAATATTTTCTGGCAGATAATATAAGGAATTCATAGATGGATTCCTTGTGAAATTTTAGCTCTGCATCTGATTTGTGAGAGCTCTTTTATGAAAATGAGCTCTCTGTGCTGTATTTTAACCATCCGTACAGCRGATAAAATATTTTTACCAGAAGTGCTGTAAGTCTTATTTAATGTTTGCAAAGTGCTTAGACATCTCTGGGAGCTGACAAGAAAACGCCATTTCACAAGAGAGGAATTTGCAAATAATAAATGCAAGGCATTCCTGCTGGGCTTCTAAGTACATGTTTCTCAATTTCAGGTGTAACCTCCCTCCAACYACAGGAAACTTTAGCAAAGACGTTGGCAATAAAACAAACCTTGTGACTGTTAAYCCAAGTATCATAGCTCAGAAGTAAGTAGTCCTGCAATTCTTTTTCTGTATAATAATGTATAATTGTTTGACATGATTTAGATTTTCTTAAAACTCCTTTGGGACACAAGCTCAGAGAGTGGTGCAGACAGATTACTTCATTAACAAGGCTTAGTTGCCACGTAAAAGATGTGCATGTCCAAATGGCAATCTATTACACATGGCCTTTTCATAACAGAAAGGAGGCAACAATACCCAGATAAGCAGGTGCCTTTGCTGGCACCCATTCACACGTTCAGAAAGAGTAAAATTGATCACTGCAAGTTCAGGCTTCTTCCACTTGTAATATCCCTACAACCCCCTTTCCTCCTCTGCCCCCACAGGAAAAAGATTTATAATCAGTCAAGAAAGCCTGGAAATGTGTGTCCAGTTCTGTCATTAGGACTGTAAACACACATTCTTAATTAATTTTCTGAAAAAGGATGGAGATCCAATTTCTATAATTCATTTTCTTAATCCAAACCAAGTCCACTCACCCACCTCTTTTTCTCTCCCTTCTCAAAGGGAAGGTTTTCTTTTCCCTTCTTGATGAAAAGAAAAACTACTAGGGCCAGGCTGACTCATCTGGTAGCTTCATCAGTCTGGAGGTGCAGCTTATCTATGAAAACGACTGCAGTGACATATTATTTACTCCTTACTGATCTAACTGCATGTTATTGTTTGTCATATCTGTATTTGTCAAATAGACAACACGGAGCAAAGATCTTTAGCTGAAAATCAAGAAAGAAACAGTACAATAAGCACAGAAATGACTAACAGGTGTTTGTCATTGACTCAAGGAGAGAGCTTGAGTTTTTGCAGTGAGTACAGACTGCTTTGATGCTTACCCGGCCCTTTTTGACTTCAATGGAGATGAATTGTTTCTTCTCCCCAGAATAAAATTAGCATTGACGTTAGTAGGGCTGTGCAATAATATGAGAAAGGAAAACTTGGTGCTGTGACTCAGCTTCATTGGTGACTAGTGATGCATGATTTCTCTGGGCTTGGTTGTGCTGTCCCGTCACACCTACAGTTATTTTTAAGCCAAATTATGCTATACTGACATTAATAGGAGTAACAGTGAAGAAAATAGAAGCTAAGCTTGTGTGAGGATGAAATAAGATTGTATAAAGACTCTGGAATTTGAGCATTTAAATTATTTAAATATTCAAGGAAAACTGTAAATGCTTTTGGAGGAGGAGAGGAAAGTGACTTGGCACTATTTAACGGAGCTGTTTGTTTTCTCARGAGATCTTTTTATGCTTTTAATCACTTCAATTTCTAATTCTGTATTTAGGTTTGGTCTSATATTCCTGTTGCTAAGGTTATAGCAGCTTTTGAACCATGTCTGACAGGCAGTACAATGCAGGCAAACACTCTTGGAGGACAGAAGCTCAGTTCTTAGGTGTCCTGGTGGAGYTGAACTTTAGTGCACCTCAAAGTTATGAAGCTGTAAGGCGGTGCAAGATGAGGCCGAGTCGTTCAGACTTCTAGCTAAAAAGGGAGCGCAGAGATCTGAATTTTGCTCTGAAGGCTCTTGGTGCATTTTGCAGTGAGTAGAAATAAGGATAATTCCATGGGTAGAGTCCAGAAGTTTACCCATYGGTCACCCTCACTGGCCACAGCCCYAGGCCTCCTGTGCTGACCTTGTCTGCAGAAGGTCAGACTTAACAGGAGGGAGAGAGGCTCTTGTTCAGCCAGTTTCCAAGTCCAGTGGCAATGGCATTTCCCTGGGAAGCTGAAAGCTTAAATCCCTTCAGGCTGAGAAGGGAAATGGACCCACGTCTTACACCTTTGCATGAGCTCACTTGTGTGAGAGGCAGCTGGAAACTCCTCCATCAGTGAGAGTTTTGAATGGCAATGGCAGAGGTTGCTGTTGCCCATCCTGAGCTGAATGCTGCAAGAGAAGAGGGTTTGAATCTCCTCGATTTGCAACAGAGGATGAAACCATGTCTTTTAGTTTCTGCTGTAACTACTGGGCTATGTGGGGAAAGAAAAAAAAGTGAAAAAAATGAAAACATCCTTCTTGGATAGAGAAGTACCTACAAAAATGGACTCAGTGCTTGGAATCCCAATGTGGATGTGAGCATCACGTGCTCAGACACCTAGGGTCTGTGGAGGAAAAGAGCTGAGCAATGTTGTTGTGACCTGTGTTGCTTCCTGGATAACTCTGGAAAGTATATGAGACAATTTGGGTGGTCACTGAATTATSTGCTAGAGAAATGAGTCTTTCTGTTGATTGCGGGGAAACTGAAGTATTTGTTTGTGAAGTCAGATCTCTAAGTCTTGAGAGAGATCCACAGATTCCCTTTGAAGTCAAGGGAGATAAACAGGCATGTCAAGATTTTCAGCCATTTTAAAAGTCTATCAAGAACAGCTAAGATTCTGCAAAACTCAATCACATGCTGATTCCGGTCCTGTTCAACTTATTCATTAACGACCTGGATGAAGGGCTGGAGTGCTCCCTC